GCGTGTTGAACTAACCATTGAACATAGTCCTTTCCTATCTCTACATTAGTGCCCACTCTGCTTCTACAAAACACAAGGAAAGTGTTTTCAAGGTGCAAGTAATTTAAAGACTGAATTTTAAACTAATTATGGTACTGAAGGATCACTTTTTATTAAGAATGCTTGCTGTGTTTTTGGATTTGCTTTCATACAGACACCTACTGGTTTGGGGATAACGCCATTGAGAACTAGAAGAGAAAAACAGGTCACAGACTTTTCAGAAGATCTGAACTTCTAGGACCACTGCCTAAGCCCCTCTTAGCATCTATACCACTGGTTTCTAATCTCCCTTTTTTAATAGGTAAAGACACAGGCTCAAATTTGACCATATAACTTAGCAAGTAACAAAGACATTTGAGATATTAAAAATAATCTTGAGCCATGCATGGTAGCACACCTTTAATCCCAGCACTTCGGAGGCAGGCAGATCCCTAAAAGTACAACCAGCCATGGCTACACAGTAAGACAGGACTCTTATCACTTGTAAAGTTTGCAAGTGTCTGAAGTGTACCTTTAAAGTAGTCATGAACACAATGAAGACCGAATGTTTTGATTACGTTTACTGCTGAAAGCCCCCCATGCCCCCCCCACCAAGTTCTGGTAATAGCCTAGAACTTAGTAAATCATCTTGCTGACCCCCAAAAATGATGACTGACTGACCCAAAGTGTCTTTGCTGTTCGGAGTTGGATTCACTTTAGGACAGAATAGCCTAGCTTGCTACTCTTGTAGCTCCATGCTCACCACAATACAACAGGAAATCCAGCATCACTTCTTAGTTCAAAACGTAAGAATCCTCATGGAGTTTACCTAGGGAAGTGATACTAAGGGAGAAAGCAAACACTGAGACTTAAGAAGTCAGCTACAAATCAAGGTGTAGCATTTTTTTTGTGGGCCAACACTTTAACACATGCACATGCAACTTAATCAAGGTCTTCCAGCAGAGGTAATATTCTAACAATTTTCCAGGCTATTTAGTGAGAAATTTTATACTACACTTTAAATTTTCCTATGTTGTGATTCTATCTTACATACACTTATGCCCTGAAAACTCCAGTAACATGGTATAGTTCAAAACTTTAATATGAGATTAAATGTAAATTGTTTGAAGTTGTAATCAGTAAAAGAAGATCAGTCCCTTTGTCTCACTGCCTTTTTTATAATAGTGCAAATGAATGCTCCTGGGAACATGTGTTTTAGACCATCTATCTGAAAACTACAGTCTCCCCAGCCACAGGACCATGAGGCAAATCACTACAGAGCATTAAAAATCCTAAGACTTTACTTTTGGTAATTCTGGACTTATGAAACAGTAAAACACTCTCAAAGCAAAAGGTGACTGAAATCATATCTCTTGTTATTCTTGGTTAGTTAAGGATTAAGTGGTAAATGAGCTTAGACAGAAGGTGGTGAGAACTCTCCCTGCACAACACAAAATTCTGAGGCTTTGGACCTTAGGATTTTCCTTTTAGTAACTCAGTCAATTATTTTTCTATGATTCAAAGATTATTAGAGTACATACAATATTGTGTAGTCTCTAGTTTATTTACAAAGATTCATTCTCCCAGTACAAACATGTGAACCAATAGTCCATTGGCCAGTCCTGTTACTCAAGCTGCCCACCTCCATGGGGATGCCAAAACCACCAGTATTCCTTCATGACACCCAGAAAAATTGTCTTTTCTCCCAGTCAAATGGCCATCTGCCAAGCTGCAAAGGTAAAAGCATTCATCCATGTATCTTGTATGTATGTAATCTGAGGCAGTGATGAAGTTTTTTTTTTTTTTCCAGCATAGCAGTCAATACATTTTAAGTCATCAGACATAAAATCTAATTGCTTTCCCATTTTACAGAACTTACATATAAAAAGGTAGAGCTAGGGTAGGTTCCACACTGCCAATGGCACACATCTATGTTGTTATTAGTATTATTACTGGATTCGGCTAGACTCCACTATGTGATTATGGCTATAAAGGAAGCTCAGTGCTCAAACAGCACTGATGAGAGCCTGCAGCCTTTCTGCCACCACCATTTTTAGTGCACATATAAACAGGTGACAAAGTGCCTATTCCCTCCCACTTTAGAAGTGAATGTTGCTTACTGGTGGCCAACTAGAATTTAATCATTTCTCCTCTACATTAACTCTCACAATGCTTCAATAAAAGATTATAAAAAAAAAAAACACTCACCAAAATCCTCCTGTGCCAGACAAGTAACTTGTTTGCCAGAAATGGATAGAGATGAGAAAGCACGAACCAAAATCCTACAGAAGGTGTAATGACCACACCATGGAGAACTTAGCCACTTAGAGTATACCATTTTCTCAGACGAGGATGGAACCCCCCTTACATGTTGCAATGGAAAGCATCACTTCACACCACACCCATATAAGTCACAGTCAGTACAGGGTGAAAGCTGTTGCACCTTTACAAACAAAAGTAGGGCCAGGCACAGTGTCACCTGCCTATCAACAACCCCAGCACTTGGGATACTGAGGCAGGAGGACTCCAAGTTGGAGGCCAACACCCCATTCTCAAAGTAAACTAAATTTAGAAACAAAAGTGGCAGTGTATACAACTTGTCCTCCACCGAGGCGGGGTTAAAGAAAGCTGAATTTCAACAATGATTCGAACCACTGCTTGGGGTCCAGACACTGAAGAACAGTCACTCTTTTGGGCTACTAGAAATCACCCTCCCTACAACAAATGAACTTACATAGCTTAACAAAATTAAGTCAAAAGTCTACTTTTTCTTGACAGCTCAGCCAATTCTTCCCTGATGTGCTGTACAGAAACCTCATCTCTTTTCAGCTCTGCTTGCTTCAGTGCTTCCTGGTAGATCTCTTTTGCTTGTGTGTATCGTTCTAAAATAACCCAAAGAAAGGGGAGAAGAAAATGTGTTTTCAAAGTGACTAAAGGGAAACCACTACTAGTGAGGACTTGTGTCCAATTCTTGAATAACATCTAGTGTTGCCTTGTTATGGTTTCGAGAAGATGGAACTTGGAGTAGGTATCAGCTCTAGGGGACTTAGTTCTGTGGAGTCACTAATGCCCTTTATGATGGTGGGCTCCCCCTTGGCCAAAGGTTTCACAATTGTGCATGCAATAGAGACCTATAATCCCACGTTTATGGACACTTCAGGTGAAGCCCTGAATAATATGGAATGGCAGGAAACTGTTATTATAGTGAGGCTTCAGAGCACTGAGGAACTGTACCTGTAAAACAACTTAAGAATCTGAAAAGCACTATAGAGACAAGAACCTATCACTGCAAAGTGTGCAGAGATAAGGAAATGGTGTGAATACAGCAAGAGTACATTAACACATGCATTTTCTGCCCTTATTTAGCTAGCCTTTTAACTTAGAGCAGTGGTTTTCAACCTTCTAATGCTGTGACCCTTTAATACAGTTCCTCATGTTGTGGTGACCGCCCCCCCCCCAAATTACTTTCACTGCTACTTCATAACTGTAATTCTGCTACTGTTTCAAGTTATGATGTAAATACCTGTGTTTTCCAATGGTCTCAGGTGACCCCTGTAAAGGGTTGTTTAACCCCCAATGGGGTTGAGAACCTGTCTTATTTAGGGTTTTCCTCATAGTCATTTGCCCTCCCCCAAACTGTTTCACTTCAAAGCCCAGCAATAACCTGAGAAGGCAGTCTGTTTCCCCTGTACCTACCTCTGTGGCCCAGCAATAACCTGAGAAGGCAGTCTGTTTCCCCTGTACCTACCTCTGTAGATCAAGATGGCAGTCAGATTGCTGAGCACCATATGCAGCTCAGGGTGATTGATCTCTCTCGCCAGATCTGATGCCCTCTGCATATATATGTAGGCGTCATCAAAGTGGCCCTGTGCATCCAGAGTAGTAGCCAAGTCACTCATCAGCACAATGGTCTAGAAAAAGAAAGCAGCCTTTTCTTTACAAATACACTTACACAGAGCATTAGCCTGAAGTTTGTCACACAGGAGAGCAGGCGCGCGCGCACACACCCACCCACACACCCACACACCCACACACCCACCCATTAGGACTCTACAAAATGAGAGGGTGAACTGTAGGCATCTGTTGATCCATACTGTACTACAGACCATATCAGTCCCATACTGTGGTGAGTAATGATGAAGACTCAGAAAGGGAACAGGACATTCTGCTCTGGACTGAGAAGAAACAGATCTCCTGTATTATGGAGGGTCTCATTAAAACTTGGAAACGGAGAAAGAGGTAGCCTGTGCTCTGAATTTCAAGTTTGCTTGTTACTGGTCCCCGATGACCTACCATTCAGGGTCTCTGCATTAAGTCCTAGCTTTCCATGTTCAGTCTCATTTGTTTGTATGGTGGGTTGCAGACATTCAGACAAAGCACCCTCTCCTCACCCTAAGGATGTATTTTACCATAGAAGCAGAGATGATCTCAACTCTGTGTTTAGTTTTCTAGCAAGGCTTTGTTTTGCCTGCTATGAAAAATTATACATTCTGTAATAGTGGTTTTAAAAGTTGTTTTTTAAGGATCAGTAGTAGAGCCCTTGCCTTGAAATTATGAAGCCCTGGATTTAATTCCTAGTCCTGCCAAAAAAAATTTTTTTGTTTTGTTTTTTTGTGACAGGGTTTCTCTGTATTGTTTTGGAGCCTGTCCTGGAACTCAATCTGCAGACCAGGCTGGCCTCCAACTCACAGAGATCCACATGCCTCTGCCTCCCGAGTGCTGGGATTAAAGGAATGAGCCACCAATGCCCAGCCAAAAATTTTTTGGGGGGTGGAAAGAGACAGGGTTTCTCTGTGTGTAGTTCTGGCTGTCCTGGAACTCATTCTGTAGACCAAACTGGCCTCAAATTCACAGAGGTAGGTATGTATGTCTGTCTGTCTGTCTGTCTGTCTGTCTGTCTGTCTGTCTGTTTCTGCCTCCTGAGTGCTGGGATTAAAGGCGTGAGCCACCACTGCCCAGTTGAAAAAAAAATTTTTTTTTAAGTCCCTATTTCCTCACCTCCCAGTTACACAGGAGGCAAAGATACTCATATGTTAACTAACATTTACTTACAAGTTTCTGACTGTAATGCAGTAGTTATGGTGTTGCTTCTAATTGGTGTGGGGAGATTCAGGCCAGTACAAAGCTAGTCCCCCAGCATGGAGTCTGCAAACCACTGTGAAACATGAGGCTGCATATTCTGAAGCTCTGAAAGCAGACACTGGGTTAGACCTATCTTGTAGTAAGACTACGGTGTAAACCATGACTCATACAAAAAGGGTCTATGCAGAGCCAGTGATGAGCAATCTCAAACCCTTTTTGAAATAAGTAGTTGGGAATAGTGAAAGCTGGTGGAAAGAAAGTGAGCAGACTGCATACAATCCTTTATACCCTCACAACACAGTTCAGTCTGGCTATACCCATAACTGATATTAGCCACTGAATCTAGAGCCTCACCAATGCTAGGCAAACTCTCCACCACTGAAATATACCCACCCTTTGTCTTTTTCTGCTTTTGACATGGGATCTCACTAACTTGGCCAGGCAGCCTTGAACCTGTGACCTTAAGGCCCATCCTTCAGAGTACCTGTACCACCAGGCCTGGCTTACATGCATTGTTCCTCAGAAACGCTTTCCCCCTTTACCTGTGGGTGTCTTTCTCCTTGTATTTCTTGACAAATCTGCAGGGCTTTCTCATACATCCTCTGTGCTTGCGATAGCTGCTTGGAGAAGAGCAGGTAGCGTGCACAAGAATCTAAGCACATGCCAAGGAGGAGGTAGGTATTGGCTTTCTCTTCCACTAAGAGAGAAATAAAAGCATGAGAATGAAACAGTTATTTACAAAGGTGAAAAAAAAAAAAAAAGCCAATCAACTTCTTCATTGTGGCCACCAGGTTCCACTGAATGTCTCCGGTCACTTAGGTAAACTCCTAACTACAGGAAACTGTTTGAAAAAAAAAAAAAAAAAAAAAAAAAAAAAAAAAGACAAATTAGGCTGTCTGAAATCATGGAACACCCTACCCCCATTCTGAATAAAGAGTTCACAGATCAATTCAAATATTGAATATTTTAAAACTGGAAACTAGTAATCAAATGATTAAGTAGCTGGGGTTGGTGGAGCACACCTTTAATCCCAGCACTCAGGAGGCAGAAGCAGGTAGATCCCTGTTAGTCTGAGGCCAGCCTGGTCTACAGAGTGAGTTCCAGGACAGCCAGGGCTGTTACATAAGAAAACAATGCAGTAAGAAACCAAGAATACTTGGAATTCTGAAATGGTCTCAAGTCAAATTTAATCTCAAACCAAATTTAAAGGACATAAGCCAATTGCCCAAGAATAAGGGCTGGGCTGTGAACTGACTTCAAACTTCATACCTCTGATACCACACGAAGAGCATGAGGCTGCAGATCTAGAAAACAGGGCCTAGTATCAGCTTTACAAGACCTCAGAATAATGTAGGAGACATGATGAGTGAGAATAATTCCAAGCTCACAAAGAACTAGAAACAGGCTGCTTGATGGGTGTTTTTCCTATAGCCTAGATTGGCCTCAAACTTCTATAAATCCTATCTCAGCCTTCCAAGGATAAAGATACAGGCATGAGCAACCAGTCTTGGCTTATTAGCTAATTTTAGGCATGAAAACTATCAGACAGCACCTGAAGATGTTCACTTAAATTTACCAGCAGAGCTATCATTCCTTCTCCATCTTCTAAGGTTTTCAGGAAATTGACAAATGGCATACAAAATGTTAAAAATAGTATGTTACTAAGTAACACTATGATCAGTTACTGAAGAGATAGTTCAAATAAAACAATGCAGCTGTGGTGGATGAGCATAGTCATCTGAGTAATGAAATAGTGAGAGTTAAAAAAAATGAAGTTTAAAAAGCACAAATCTAAAATAATTTGCTTAATTATAAAAGGTCAATAATAGGCTGGGCAATGGTGGTGCACACCTTTAATCCCAACACTCATGAGGCAGAGACAGGTGGATCTCTATGGTTTGAGCCCAGCCTGGTCTACAGAGCGAATTCCAGGACAGCCTTTGAAGCTACAGAGGAACCCTGTCTCAAAAAAACAAACAAAAGTCAATAACAACTTTTGAGGGCAAGGCTAGATAGAGCTCTTTTGGTAGAAAGATTGCCTATTTTCCATGAAGCCCTGTGTTCATCCCCAGCATAGTACAGTCTGGGTTTGATAGCACACACCTATAATCCAAGCACTTGGAAGTGGAGGTCAGAGAATAAGGAGAGTCACCCTCAGCTACGTAGTGAGGTTAGCATGGAAGTCATGAAACCTTGTCTCATATACTGAAGTAGGGAGTGATTTGGAGAGATGGCCCAGTAGCTAAGAGTGTATGCTGGACAAGTATGAAGACTGGAGTTCTAATGCCAGAACCCAAGAGAAAAACTTGGGGCATGGCCATACATGCAACCCTCCCATTCCCACCCTCACCTCCCTTCCTTCCCTGAGACAGGCCTACAGCTTGCAAACCTCCTGAATGCTGGGATTACAGACATGTCCTACCATGCCCAGCTAAACTTTCTTTAAATGTTTCTGTGTTGTCTAAATAGTCTTTTTAGATCATACAACTATAAAATACATCAAAATAACTTTAAAAGACCAGACAGAGAACTGGGCACTTGCCTAGCATGTGCAAGGCTCTGAATCCTATACCAAACAAGCATATGATAAGCCATAAAAATAAAAGAACAAAGTGACAAGCAATTCTAGGGCAAAGTGATTACTGTTACACGTAAAGGAGAGGGGGCAGAAAGTACAACTAATGAGGTAAAATGCTTGGAATATTTTCTAAAAAATGTTTTAAAAATACATTTTACATTCATGACACATTCTGAGTTCCCAGCACCCACACTGGGCAGCTCACTCCAGCTCCAAGTGATCAATACCCTCTTCTAGAATCTGAGGGCACCTAAAAAATCACATGCACATAACTAGACACAGACATGTATGTGTGTGTGTGTACATACACAATTATACATCACACACATGTACACACATACACATGCATGCACACAATTAAAAATAAAGCAAATCAGAACTGGAGAGAGGGCACAGTGGTTAAGAGAGGGCACAGTGGTTGAGAGCACTGGCTGCTCTTGCAGAGGACCCAGGTTTGGTTCCTAGCCTCCATATGGTGGCTCACAACCAGCCATAACTCCAGTCCCAGGAATGTGGAGCTTTTTTTCTGGCCTCTCCAGACACCAGGCATACAAACAGTACACTTACTTAAATACAGGACAGTCATACATATAAAATTAAATAAATCTTTTTAAACGTGAATAAATTAGCCAGGCAGTGGTGGCACATGCCTTTAGTCCCAGCACTCGGGAGGCAAAGGCAGGCAGATCTCTGTGAGTCCGAGACCAGCCTCGTCTACTAGTTTCAGGACAGCTTCCAAAGTCACAGAGAAACTCTGTCTTGAAAAAAAAAGAAAGAAAAAAGAAAAAAAAGTGAACAAATTAAATAATAAAGCTTTAAAGATGTGAAGGAGGGGATGTGGGGTCCTGAAGTCTGCAATCATGGCTCAAGAAGAGGAAGATGGTAGAGATTACAATTTGATGGAGGAACAGAAGGCGATCAAGGACAAGTATCTTCCAGCCAATCAAAAGTATGAATATTTGGATCATACAGCTGATGTCCAGTTGTATGCATGGGGAGATACTCTGGAGGAAGCATTTGAACAGTGTGCCATGGCCATGTTTGGTCACATGATAGAAACTAAAACTGTGAAACCCCTCCAAACAGTAGAAGTAGAAACCCAGGGAGATGACTTACAGCCTCTACTGTTCCACTTTTTGGATGAGTGGCTTTACAAGTTCAGTGCTGATGAATACTTCATACCCTGGGAAGTGAAAGTACTTAATATTGATCAAAAAAATTTCAAGTTACGGTCAACTGGGTGAGAAGAATTTTCATTGTCCAAGCATCATCCTCAGGGAACAGAAGTCAAAACAATAACATACTCAGCAATGTAAGTCTACAATGAAGAGAAGCCAGAAGTGTTTGTGATCATCAACATTTAAGATACTAAGAAGCGAGGAAGGAAGCAAGGAAGGAAGGAAGAGACACTTGGGGGCTGGAGAAAACCTGGTTCAATTCCCAGCAACGACATGACAGCTCACAACTGTCTCTAACTCCTATTCCAAGGGATCCAATGCCCTCATACAGACATTCATTCAAGCAAAACACCAGTGTATATAAAATAAAAATAAATTATTTTAAAAAAGAGAAAAAAAAAAAGATGTGAAAGAGGGACAAATGATAAGGCACTCTAGCTGGGCATTGGTGATGCACACCTTTAAAATCCCAGCACTCAGGAAGTAGAGGCAGGAGAATCCCTGTGAGTTCAAGGCCATAATGAGTTCCTGGAAAGCCAAGGCTATGTAAAAACCCTGTCTCAAAATGAAAGAGAGGGAGAGAGAGACAGACAGATGGACAGAGAAAATGCACCATAAAAGAAGTTCAAAAAAAAATAATGAAAAGGTTTCTCTGCCTGCTTCAAGAGAAAATTTCACACAATGTACAGAATTGGCTTAACAATTTTAAAAAATTACACTTATTTATGGGGGCCCATGCTTGTAATGGCAGCGCAGTGTGTGGGCTTCTCTCCTTTCATCTGTTGAGGCCCAGTGCTGAAACCAAGTCTTCAAGCAGCTGCCTTTACCTTCCGAGTTATTTCACTGGCCCAAAAGGACTTCTTTTCCAAGAAAAACATTTTAATTATTTTTATTTTATTTATGAATATAGGTGTTTTGCCTGCATGCATATGTCTGTGCATCACATGCGTGCCTGGTGCCTCCAGAGGCAGAAGAAAGGCACCAGATCTCTTGGAGCTGGAGTTACTGATGTGGGTGCTAGGAATGGAACCCAGGTCCTCTGAAAGAGCGGACAGGCTTCTGAACCATAGAGCCAACTCTAAAGCTCCACAAAATTATTTACTGAAGCATGATTCTTTGGAATATAGGAACTGCTAAGTTAGACAAGAAAAATAATCAGATAATTTAATAAAAACTGAGTAAGAAGTTCAGGCCATTTATAAGAGTCCAGAGGGTCATTTGAAATATGAGGAGCATATTCATTTCTCCAAACTTCAATTATATCTTCCACATATTATGTCTAATCATAGAAAAACATATGCTACTAAAAGCCAGTATATGAAGAAACCAAGATTTGTTATAGAAGCCTATACTTAAAATATAAGCAAAGGGAATTCTCAAATATACAGAGTAGCTCAGGATATACACTATATTAGCATAGAAAAGTGGGTTAAATAGGAATCTGAGGAAGTGCCACAGCAATAATCCACATCTATAAAGTAAGTATAGAAGTTCCATTAGTAAAAGGTTATCTCTAAGAAAACACGAGCACAGCAGTCCCTCCCCAGGTCTTAACTCCCACCTGGTGGCAGTTTGAATGTAATTGGTCCCCATAAGCTCTAGGGAGTGGCACTATTAGGTGTGGCTTGGTTGGAATAGCTATGGCTTTGTTGGAAGTTAGGGTGTCACTGTAGGGGTGGGCTTTGAGTTCTCATATATGCTTAAGTCATGCCCAGTGTCTCAATTCACTTCCTGTTGCCTTCGTATCAAGATGTACAATTCTCAGCTTCTTCTCTAGCACCACGTCTGCCTGCGTGCCATGATGATAATGGACTAAACCTCTGAACTGTAAGCCAGCCCACTTAAATGTTTTCCCTTATAAGTTTCTGTGGTCATGGTGTCTCTTCACAACAGAAACCCTAATACAAACCCAGGGAAACTCAGGAAAGTCTACAGAACTAAAACTGGCTACCTGAAACATCCTCGAATTTTTGCTATACTGAAACTTTGCTTAGTCAACTGAGGTCATCTACAGCACTTCCTGAAACACAATGGCAGAGGAGAAAAGCAGACTCTAACTTAAGGCATTTACTTCCTAGTATATGACAGATAACTGGAAACCTTTCTGCTGGGCATAGCTGAGCTCCCAAGGGTCGCAAGTTAGGAATTAGCTAAAATCCCAAATGGAAAGTATGGGAGCTCAGTTTCTGTTGCGTCTGTAAACGAGACCTAAGAACCCAGAAAGTAAGGCCTTCAAACTTGTAGAAAACAGGGAGCCAGGCCTGAAATCTTCACATCATGTGCAGCATACCCCCAAATGTACAATCAAGCATCTATACAGCGCAGACATATCATCAACATACAGTCAAATGTTCACTATGTCTTTCCTCCACTGGAAAGTCAGTTCCCCGAGGTCATAACTCTAACTACAGCTCAATGTCTAACAGAGTGGCTGGCTCTAATTTCTTTAGTGACTGGTTTGCTGAGTAATCAAATGAAAAGAATTAAAAACAAGGGTACCGAAATGAATATGGAAGAAGATATAATAAAGCTTATCAATTGTAATTACAGAATTTAAAAACATGAACACCACTATAAAACTGCAGCAAGGAAAGTTATTACAAATCAGCAAGAAAATGACAAATTACAAGATAGGCCTGGGCAACCTGACTGTGCAGGGTTGGGGGTTCCCCATTTCATGTCATACTGAAAAGCAAACCATACTTCACTGAGAAACAGATGCAGAAGATAAGGCTAGAGGCCAAACTCAAGCTGACCAGCTGCTATGAAGGACCATCAAGGAAACCCCATGGCTGCTGGCAGTGCCTGTTACATAACAGAACTGGGTAAGAACACATTATTTTCACATGGTCATCCCTGGCTTCCAAGATTATCCCTTCAAGAAAGGGGTCTATTAAATACCCAATAACAGCTAAAGTATGTTTCATAATCAAAATTTATCATGTAGACACATTTTGAAAGTTCTGCTAAAGGATCTCAGCCAAATCCCAACCTCTTTGAAGGAATGATGCTTTACACTGACAAAACGCAAGTCTTCCTCACACGAGACCATGGGCAGCACTGAAATTGATCAGATCTAGAATGCTCACTTCTGTCCTGCCAAATCTTTACTTTTTGTTTCCATTTAGTGGGTACATCTCACAAAACATCACAGAATAAAACCCAAGACTTTAACCGTGGTGAACAAACACACATTAGCAAAACTTTGTCTCTAAAGCAGATCCTCTGCTTGTGTTCCTTTCCTCCTCCCTGATTCTAGTGTAAAACCCTGAATACAGGTAACTTTCCAGCTGACCACAGGCTTATGCTTGTTTCCTGACTTGGAAAGGTAGTTTTATTTTGTGGACACATCCTTTCACCGTTCTCTTTTGAAACAGGGTCTCCCCATGCCTACGAATTATCATGGCCACTGCCCTACTAGTCAAGAATGCTAACAAACTTACCATGGGCCAAACTTTAGCCATCACCA